TGCCGCTCTTCACTGCCCCCTCAGTGCTGGTGGACACTCCCAGAGTGTGTGGGGACGGGGGGACAGGCTGCCGCTCTTCACTGCCCCCTCAGTGCACGTGGGAGGTGGACTCCTGAGGCAGGGGCTAGTGAGAGTGGGGAGTGATCTTCTCTGACACCTCACATCCCCTTCCTGGGACTAAAGGTGCTGGGGAGACACCATGGCACAGAGCCCAATCCCATGGTACAGAGCCCAAACCCATCGCATGGAGCAGAACACGACCCCACTTAGAGGAAACCTCCACAACAGATACGCCCGCAGGGACAGGAGCAAGCTGGTGGGTGCCGAGTGCTGGAGGGGACAGAAGGGGAGCTCCTGCTCGGCAGGGCTCTTTTTTGAGGTGATGAGAAGTATATTGAAATAGATGGTGGTGTTTGACAGCAGTGTGACGGACCAAATACCACTGACTGTACACTTTGAATGCTAATTGTATTGTGGTTAATGTTATGTGAACTTCACCTCAGTAAAAAAAAGGGTTTTTTTCAGCATTTTGAATATCTCACCCCTGTGCCTTCAGTCTCCATTTTTTTCTTGATAAATCAGCTGTCAATCTTATTGGGTTTCCCCTGTATGTAATGTCATTTTTTTCTGGGTATTTTTAAGATTTTTTTCTGTTTTTCAACATTTTGGCTGTTTGAGTTTCTTGGATGTGTAGTTTTTGATCAAATTTGAATTTTCAGTTTTGTGCCATTCTTTCTTGGAATATTTTCTCTTTTCTCTCTTCCCTAGTACTCCCATTATGTATGTGTTGGTACACCTGATGGTATCCTGCCCTTTTCTGAGGCTAGTAACTTTTGTTAGCTTTTCCGGTGAGGGCCGTGGCTCGTCTGTGATCCCAGCAGTCTGGGAGGCTGAGGCAGGTGTACTGCCTGAACTCAGGAGTTGGGAGTCCAGTCTGAGCAAGAGCGAGACCTCGTCTCAAAAAGTAGCTGGGTATTGTGGCAGGTACCTGTAGTCCCAGCTGCTGGGGAGGCTAAAGAAGATTGCTTGAGCTCAAGAGTTTGAGGTTGCTGGGAGCTATGACACCACAGCACTGTACCGAGGATGACAAAGTGAGACTACAAGAAAAATTATTTTTTCCTGTTTTAAGCCACAGAACTTTTATCACTCTGTTTTCAAGTTTGCTGATTATTTGGCCACTTTGAATCTACAATAACTGATATAAAAATTTCACTAGAGGGCTGGGCGCAGTGGCTCATGCCTGTAATCCTAGCACTCTGGGAGACTGAGGTGGTTGGATTGCCAGAACTCACAGGTTTGAGATCAGCCTGAGCAAGTGCAAGACACCGTCTCTAAAAAATAGCCAGGCGTTGTGACCGCTGCCTATAGTCCCAGCTACCCAGGAGGCTGAGATCTCTTGAGCCCAAGATTTTGAGGTTGCTGTGAGGTCTGACACCAGGGCACTTGAGGGCAACAAAGTGAGACTCTATCTCAAAAAAAAAAAAAAAAAAAAATTCACTACAGGGACTCTACAAGGTGTCCCAAAGCTCACCCACTCATAGGGAAAACTGTCTTTATTTGCAAAATACTCATTACAAAATTTTATAAGATATTCTGGGTATGTTGGCCACCTCGAAACATTTTCCAATTAGTATTTTGTCAATAAAGGTACATTTAGTTAGCTACAATTTCCAATTTCCCCTAAGTATGGCGGGGGGAACTTAGGGATACCCTGAAGTTAATTTTTCTTTTCAGTTACTGCGCAATACCAGAATTTCTATTTGGTCCCTTTAAACCCCCCCCTCCATCTCTATAGGTATTATTTGATGAGACACTCAACATACCCTTCATTTCTTCAAATATGATTTCCTTTAGTTCTTTAAGCATATGTATTATAATCACTGTTTCGTAATCTGGGCACCCTCAAAGGCAGTTTCTACCCCTCCCTTCCCGTGTATGTGACACTGCCCTGCTTTTGGAACATCTCTTGTTGTTGAAAACTGGACACTTTAGATCAGCAACTGACCCTTCCCTTCCTCCAGGACGTACTCTTATTTGCTTCTTTCTTTGTGAACTTGTTGGCGATCTAAACTACAGTGAAGATAGTTTTTTAGGGAACATGTACCTATGCATGTTGAGACAGGACACTACCCAACTATGCCATCGATAGCCTGGCTGTGATCACCTTCCTGGGACTGAGCTGGAGTCTCCGCCCAGACACTCTGCATCTTGTGGAGTGGGTGTTTCAGACATGCAGGGAGTAGTGTGAACAGTCATGAGACTGAACCAGCCACTCAGAGAAGACGTGCTGGGCACCCCCATGGCTCTGGGAAGCAGAAAAGGAACAGGAATCTGAAGAGTCTTGTTTTCAAATGCAAAAAGTACCATCTTTCAATTCCTGCTGTTATTTATGTAGTTCCCAAAGAGGCATGTTTTATGCATACTGAAAATCAGTATCAAACACAAATCTGAGGGCAAAGACATAAATATATTTTTAATGGACTTGGTTTGACTAGATTGACAAACCCCACAGACACTAACACGATTTGATCATCAACAAAGTCCTTGCCAGCAGAGTCAGGTAAATTCAGAGAAAATATGTACAAAAGTTAAACAACAGACTCAATTTCCAATACTAACAATTGTTTTCAGATTTTCTTTATATTTTGTGCTTTCAGTTCAGTAAAACAAAGGGTAACAAACTTGTAAAGTCTGATATCTAATTGTACAAAATTGACCAGGCCTCTGGAGAAGGAAAAGATCACCATTTTATAAAATATCATAATTTAAGATCACCAGCATTAAATCATTTTGTTTTCTGGACTTCCAAGTCCCCTTGGCAATTTTATCTAGGAAAATAACATGCATCAGATAGAAAACTGATATTCTAAACACATTTTATTTGTGAAATATTATTCTTTTATGTATATATTAATGAGAATTTTTAAAAGGTTTTCTTCCTGTTGCTAAAACTTAGGCATTAAAAATAAACCACTGTAAACCTATTTGACTTACCCGTAAAAAGGAGTAAGTCAGGACAGAGTTGGAAAACAGAGCTGAGGGTGCACTGTCACCCCAGACACCACCGTACAGGCGTGATCTCGACAGGAGGTGCGTTCATAGGACAGTCACTGGTACTCAGAACAGAGGATGTAAGATGATATAGGGATGCCGAAAGAGACAGCCGTGTGGCAGTCTGTAGGACAAATGTGCCATCTCCCCCTAGAACGTCCTGCTAAGACATCTTGACATTGTTGGCTTACATGGCCCATCTGACTATGACTCATCTTTAAAGCTGAAATAAAAATTGTTAGAAAAATATTTTGATTGATAATGAAAGTTTTTTTAAACAAAAAGCTGAAGATACTTGCTAACTTAAATCCAGTCCTTTCACTGTGAAAGTTTTGGTTTTGAATGTGATTTGCCGTGTTGTGAAGCGCAGCATACTAGAACCACATGAGGCCACGGCCATGAAGTCATGCTGTCTGCGAGACGCTGCCCGACAGCCCCTGCTGAAAAGCACAGTGGTAACTATTAATTTTTTCATGGCTAAGCATGACAGAACTTTATTATGGAGCAGGGAGAGAGCAAGTTAACACTCCTTTCTCATTAAGGCCTTGGTCAGTAAGTCTGCTCCTCCACACCAAGTCAACCCTTGCTGGAAGACGAAGCCCCACCCTCATTATGAGTGAATGAAATCAAAGTTGAATGCAGCTCTGCAACCCTAGTGGGCCTCTTTGCTGTCCAAAGCCATGGCTGAGACCACAGACTTGGGGTCCTCTGTTGGGGAGTAGCAGTCAAGGGCACTGGCCCAAGTTTTACTGAAAAATTGGGGTTCCGCGCATAAGGGGAGGGTACAGAGCACCCATCAGTCCAAACTCCACGCCCTGTGACATCTTTCTGCCAGAGCCACAGAGGAGGAGTCTGGCCCCTGTGGCTTTGCAAGTGGCCACCTAGTTCTGAGTCTGCATCTTTCCCATCTCTCAAGATACAGTTTCCTTAATCCAGATCAATTACTATGTGAGGACTGCTCTAAAAGTCAGTTTTGTTTTTCCAACTAAAGCCTGGATGCCTTCCAACCCAATTTTTATAATTAACTTCAATGAGAAGAGCTATGTAAAAACCTGCTGGTGAGCACTGCCATCTTCTAGATGAAAGGCAGCTGTGAACACCTGCACAAGCACGGCTCCTCAAGGCCATGCTCGGGTCTCGCTCTGAGCACAAGCCCAGGTGACAGCACTGCCAGCAGGCCTCTAAGAAGGAAAAACTGCTTTTGGGGACATCAATCCTTTAGCTCCCTGATACAGAAAGAGAAATAGGAGCCCCATGGCTTGGAAGAATTCATGCCCGATGCAGATGGCAGCAGGGCTCAGTGCAGGGCTGGATCCTAGGCGAGAGCCAAGGGGCGCTGGCTCCCAGAAGACACTTTGGGCTTGCCGTAGAGGTAGGAAAACAGGGAAGGACATGAAGTGAGGGGGTGAAAAGCAAGCCCCCCAGGGCAAAGAGCCTCTTTTCCCCTCACCTGTCCATTCCCCCAGCTGAGTACATGTAGAAAAACTATGGTATTGCAGATTCTGTTCCAAGAATCATCCCTATTGGTAATCTGCCAAATGCCCGTGGGACTTGGGGGTGAAGCCCTACATGCTTCAAAAAGAAAACAGACTGCTAGACTAGAAATAACCAAAAAACCCACCACCCAGAATAGCAAACACAGCAGTGAGTACCAAAGTTCTGCGTGAACTGACAGCTGACTAGAAGTGTGATTCCACACAGTAACGGTGCTCATCAGTTTATTCAGAGTTGTGGACCAGCGTGCTCTCCTCAGCTTCTCCAAGGTTCCTACACTAATGGGAACCACTGAAGTTACCCAACGTGTGGAAGCCCAGAGCTCTGGCATGCTACTGCAGAAGACTCAACTAAGACGTCCAGGGCTCCTGGTGGAAGGGACGAGGAAGCAGCAGCTCACGTTCAGAACCTCATATGCACAAGTTACAGAACTTATGAAATGATAAAAGGCCCTACGTTCTTAAAGTTATAATTTATAGAATATTCTATATAAAAGCAGTCTTTAAAAAGGGACTCTGCTATTGTCCTCAGAAGAAATCCATAGCTGTGGGCCTCCTCTTTGGAGTGGTGGTCAGCGGTTTCTTGGCCACCAGTGGAGTGCTGGCAGGTGAGCTCGGTGGGGTCTTCAGAACTCCATGTAAGGGCTTCTGTGCGGGGTTGAAGGCCACTCGGGAGAGGCCAGTGGGGCTGACCAAGAGACTCTTGTCTGTCTTCTTGAATTCTGTCTCAATTGAAAGTAATGCACCCTGTTAACTGAGTGTGACTTCTGTCCCTTCTAGCTGCTTTGGGTTTGACCCTCCCTCCCTCACTTGCCACCACAAGACCCTAAAAAGAGTGGGCCCTGCAGTGTGCAGAGTTGCCCAGGTGTCCATTAGCTCTTCCCAGCGACACGGCCCAGGGTCAACTGCTGGCCTGTAAGAGGAGTCTTTCCTTGGGGAGGATTCATCGCTCCCACTTTCCCCAGTTCTAAAGACAAAGCCTTGCTGGCTGAGGTCAGCTTCTCAGGTCCTCCAAGAGTCCCACCTCTCTGAACACCTCATGGCTATGGTCCCCAACAAGAGCCAGGACTTAAACTTATCATAGTATTTTTAAAAACTGTGGTTTCTTTTGAAACAATACATGGACAGTACTAATACGAAAACTATCAAAACAGGGCTATCCTTTCTCTTCACCCTGCCTCCAGGAAGCAGGAGGTTCTGAATTTTAACAGCAAGGCAGCCACAGCTGACGGACTCAGAATCTCAGGCGGCCGCGGCCTAAAGTATTGAGGAGGTGCTTAGGAACATGGTCTTCAGATCCTGTCTTACCAGGTAACCTCTCAAGAGGTTCCAGGAAATCTGGCACCTACTGCCAACACCGCCCTCACAGCTCTGCAGGAAAAAGGGACACACAGACAAGTGCTCACTTCTGACTCAGAAGCTGGCAGGGAGTGAAGTCCTTGACCTCATGGCCCAGGCTCCTGGCAGAGCCTGCCTTCTGTGGGAATGCACACTGTCCCGGGCCAAGCCTGTGCCTGTGCTCAGGGGAAGGTCTTCTAAAAGGAAATCCTAACTCACCTGCGGTCATGTTTCTGTTCAACCCAAAGGTGACTTTTTTGGAGCTAGATGGTGTCTTGTTCAGCTATAAAAAAACAAACAAAACAAAAAAAACAAAAGGAGTAACACAAAAAGAATTCTTAGGCTCCTTGTCAGAGATTTTTCTAAAGAAGTTGCCCAGGAGGGAAAGTTTTTATACTCTGTTGCTTACTGACTGGGACACACGCAGAGGCCAAAGGGACAGTGGCCTGGTCCCACAACTTAAAACTAAATGTCCCACTCCTGGGTCTTTTTTTTTTGAGAGAGTCCACTTTGTTGCCTTTGTCATGAAGTGGAGTCACAGCTCACAGCAACCTCAAACTTTTTGGCTCAAGCGATCCTCTCGCCTCAGCTTCCTGAATATCTATCTATAGTCACCACCACAATGCCTGGCTCATTTTAGAGATGGGGTCTTAAACTCCTGATCTCAAGCAGTCCACCCACCTCGGCCTCCCAGAGTGCTGGGATCACAGGCATGAGCCACCACGCCCGGCCCCCTAGAGTGCTAGGATCACAGGCGTGAGCCACCATGCCCGGCCCCCCAGAGTGCTGGGATCACAGGCGTGAGCCACTGCGCTGGCCTCTCCTGGGTCTTGTTGGGACTGGCCTGTGGCTTCCATAAAGCCTTTTTGGTGGGCGCTCACTTCCCCAGTGCCCCCACTGCAGTTGCCACTTTATCAGAGCAAATAAGATAAGGATGTTTGAAATCTTCTCAACAGGAAAAACATTCTCCACTGAAAAACTGTTACTATAATTGTTACTAACTTTTCATTCATTTTGACCAAGAGTTGTGAAGTTTTAACTTGAAGATTCTATGAAGTTGATTACATCAACAAAGGAATCTAACTTCCACAGGTAACGAATATGAACTCTACAGCTTTC